CAATCACAAAATTGCATGGGTTAAATTTTTGTGTTCCCTCCTGTTAATTTTGTGTTCCCAGTACGTTCCCTCCTGTTGTGTGTTGAGCTATAAATAACCTATTAAATAGGAAACTCAGATTGCACGCTCGCAGCATCTTTTAATAATATACAAGATTTGAATGAAGCACATCAATCTGATACAACTCCTATGCCACATGATAAAATTGGCAATCGAATTTTTAAATATCGACTTGTTTTAAAAGATGTGGCCACTAGGTATCGAAAAAGTTGTGCATTAACTAATAAATCTGCTTCAACCGTTGCAAAAGCAATTAAGAAAATTTATGAAGATTCTGATAATCCTCTCTTTTATTCTAATTGTTTTATGATTGATAAGGGTACTGAATATTTAGGTGAATGTAAAGATTTATTACTTAGTCATAACGTTAAAATTCAATATGCTAAATCTAAACGTGGGACAGCTATAGCAGAACGAGATCATCAAGAATTTGAAAAACCTGCCTTTTATCATCAAGATGCCATTGATTTTCTTTTACCTTCATCTGAGAGATGTAGATTTTGGGTTAAAAATTTACATATTGATGATGATATTTATAATGATACCCCTACTCGACTAATTCATATGTCACCTAATGAAGCAGTAAAGAAAGCATTAAAAGGTGAAAAAATTATTGCTAAACCTTCTGTAAAACATCGTAGACCTATTGGTTATAATGAACCACGATTGACCCATAACGATTCTGTTTTATATTTACTTGAACTGGGGGAATTAGAATTTGGTTTTACCAAAAGACGTATAACCAATATGAATTGGTCCCCGAAAGTTTATCATATCAAAAAAGTGTTAATACAAAAAAATCAACCGGTTTTATATTGGCTCATAGATGGACCTGAGAGATCTTTTGTTCGTGAACAATTAATGGTTGTTAAAAATGTTGAATATCCTCCTGATTGGATTCTTAGCAGAGCTAGTATGACTAAGAACTAATAAAATCATTAAGTTCTTCTATTCCTTCTTCTGTATTAAAAGATTCTTTGGATATATTATATCATATATTACAACTGCCTATCAATTATCCAAACAACTTGAAGAATTAAACATTATAGCAAGTGAAAAGTAGAGGTTGGCACCGTGCAAAAATTCTTTAACCGGTTAATTAACCATTAAAAATAAGAGTTAACCGGTTAACTGGTTAATTGGTTAACTTTATTAACCAGTTAATTTAGTCACGTGAAAAATTTTAATTGGTAAATTCAATCGTTCGTTACAAAATAATCACATTCCTGTTGAATTTCATTATTATACACTTCATAGATAGATTCTAATGGTTATGATAGGAATTTAATTGACATTTAAACTAAATTTTATTTAGTCAAAATCAATCTCACAATAAGGATTATTTCTTTTCAAAAATAAGAGCTCATTAACAAGTTTAGGTGCTAAACATGTACGCTTAGGATTTATTTGATTACCAGCATCACTGAAAAGCCTTTCAGCAGGCACAGATGTTGCTGGTATTGATAAATATTTTCTGGATATTTTTGAAAGAATTGGAAACTCACTTTTCCTTGCTTTCCACCAAGCCCAAGGATTTTCTGATTGATGTGCCAAAGGAGTTAAACAAAGATCCAAATATTTATCCACTTCAGATATCTCATCATGTTCTTCATTATCAAAAATTGATTCAAAAAAATTAGATGAATATCTTGATGTTTCTGACAAATTTGAAGAATTTTCATTTACTGAAATTTCATTTTCCTCATATTGTAGATAAATTTCTTTTAATTTTTCTATTGTGTTTTGTTTAGTGTTGTAATCAAATAAAGACAATCTTTTCAAACGAGGATCCAATATAGTTGCCAGTAAACCAAGATCTGAAGTTTTATCCCAATAATCAAATAAAGAATTATAAATTTTTCGCTGAAAATTTAATGCAACATTGTTAAGATTTGGTCTTGGTGGAATTGAAGTTCGTGATCGGGTAAAATGTTTATGAATTAATGGGTCATCATCATTGTTATTATTGTCATCATTATTGTCATCATCATCATCATCATTGTCATCATCATCATCATCATCATCATCATCATCATCATCATCATCATTGTCATTGTCATTATCATCATCATCATCATCATTATTGTCACTGGTATCATCATCACCTAAAAACAAATTATTTAGAAATTATTATAACATATTATAATCAACAATACACACTTATATCAAATTCTTTACCATCCTGCTCTTCTCCACATGCAAACTTTACTTTTAATTTTTGTATGATTGGATACATTAATGATAAAGTGGGATATCGAGCACCAGAAAAAAAAGTTGTTGCCTCTTCAAAAGGTTTAAGAAGTGACAAAATTTTTTCTAGCAATTCCCATTCATAATTCTTCAATAATAAATATTTAAGCCTACGAGCATCAGATTTAGAATCTTTTCCAGGTTCATAAGGTAAAGTATTTGCCAACCATTCAATTGACTTTCGCAACTTCAACAATCTAACCCATGAATTATAAGATGCATTCCACCTTGTTTTAACAGCTGCCACATTTCTTAATATGTTTATATTGTTTAAATTAGTTTCTTGATCATCATCATCATCATCATCATCATCATCATCATCACTACCATTATCATTATTGTTATTACCATTATCATTTCCATCATCATTACTTTGAAAATGTATTAAATTATTCTGACCCAAATCTTGTTGATGACAGAAATTTCTAATTGGGCATTATTTAACCTTTCAGTTTGTTTTGGAGATGATGTGAAAAATTTAACCAATTTTTTAAATCTTTTGACATATGGTTTGATTGATCCAAGTGCTTTATTTATAGTTAATTGAAGTACATGAGCAGTGCATGGAATTCGTTCAACTTCTTCCCACAACTCAAATGCTTTTTTCATGTTACTTCCATTATCAGTTATGCCACAAATTAATTTCCCTTCAAGCCCAAATTCATTAATTTTATTTTTTAGATATTCAAGAATCGTTTGATTTGAATGTGGATATGGCATTTTTTCAATTGCGAGTAGGACATCAACTAGTTCAAAATCTGGTGTAAGCCAGTGGCATGTAACACCTATGTAACCTACTTTAGATCTTGCTGTCCATAAATCAGTAGTGATAGTTGCAGTATCACAAGTTTCTCTTATTAGATTGATTAATTTTTTTTTTTGTAATATGTATGCTTTTGTAATTAGGTTTTTTGTTGTTTTGTTGTTTGGGATACGAAACCTTGGATCCAATCTTTTCATAAATTGTTTAAACCCATTGCCTTTCATCACATTAAATGGCAAGGAATCCAACACAACCCATTTTGTAGCAGCACATTGAAGTTCTCTCATTTGTTTAGGGGGGTGTTCTTTGATCTTTTCAAACATTTCAACAACTGTTCTTTGATTAGTTTTTTTTTTCTAAAAAAAAAAAAAATATTATT